TGGACAAACATCACCGCACTCACGAGCTGCACAAGCTGGTCTTGGTGGCCCTTCTGCAGCAGCTCCACGCTCATTACCTCAGTCACAGCTTCCCCGATTGACTACGAACGAGATGACGGTACAACAGCCCCCTGCCGCCCCTGCAGGCGTGCAGCAATTACAGCAGACGCAGACACAACAACAAGAGCAATCCTCCCCCTCGATATACTTTCATCACTGGGTACCTCCGTCCTCAGCTTCACAAGAAAAGAGTGCTAGTGGGAACCCGCCAGCTACGCCATCAGGTAAATACAAAACTTCGCCTGTTCACCAGTCACGGCAACGTGCTGCGTCGCATGCGTCTGACCTAGAATACACCAGCTCCCCCAAAAAGCGCAAGGCTCAAGGCCCTCACCCCCCTCCACCGCCGCCTACATCGGCGCCAGGATCATACACATCACCATCCTTCTCGCACATATCGTCGTCATCGACATCGACACCTGGAAGAAGGGGACACGCTCGAAACCGATCAGATGCATCCACGAGAGCGGCGGAAGGCTCCAGTGGCTCCTTGAGCCGACGAGGCACCATCTCGGGGCTTGCGCACGAGACAATTGTGCGGCAAGGCGACATAGCAGAAGAAGCAAGGGACGCAGACGACAAGGTACAGTCCAAATCGGACCATGCATATGCAACACCGCCTCAGCGGAATGAAGCTCGCGGTCAGAGCCAGCAGAACTACGCGCCGGCCTCAACATCTGCTCAACCTGAAACGCCAAATCACGCGACAAGTCAGCAATGGAATCGAGGTTATACGTCATCACCCAAGAGAGAAGCGGGTGACCATTAGATTGGGACGCGATTGCAGCATCGTAATGCACGAATCCGGATTGGCGGCTATTGCGATCGCTATCGGTCCTTCGATAAGCTCACATCTTCTGCAATTCACCCGAGCGAACGCGAAAGCGAGTATGAAGAAGTCGGCACGGCAATCGGGCATCAAGCAAGAAATCTCGCCGCTTGCTGACGAAGGCAAGAGAAGGTGCGATTGCGATTATCTGCAGCAGTTGCAAGCGAAATGAGACACAGAACATCAAGACATCCAGACCTCACATTCCGGCCTTTCCACTTCATCTCAAAATCTTAGTGCACGGCCCCGCAACCCCACCTAAGGAACCCTCTTCCCTCATCTCTTGAAATTGCATCGCAATGTCGTTCGCGGGCTGCATACACACGTCACGCATTCGACCCAGTCTTTTTCCTTTGCTCGCACAGGACGCAGGCCTCGCCCGAGATGACAGCAGAACATGTTGTTGCAATCGCGAAGAACGGACGTTATTTCCGGATCCTGCCGTTGACCCCCTTCGAGGAAGGCTCCGATCTACTGTACAGGCTGCATATCTAGGCCTTTTCCTTTTTTGCAATCGAAGACATGCTGGTTATATCTGGCGTTTTATCGCGGCGCATCGGCACCCAGTCGAGTGTTAGCATGACTTCAACATTTTCCTTTCGTTGGCATGGCCGAAGAGGATACTGCAGCTAGGGTTGCTGCTATCAGACGGCGGCCTGTTCTGCACACGCCGCTTCCCCGCCTCCCGGCTGCATCGTCTATCTTGATCTTGGTGCCTCTGGTCAGCAGCAGCCGCAGCCGCCACCACCACCGCGTCTTGGTTACTCAGTATGCGCTTGCGAACCCCGCACGTTGCGAAACATGCGACGTTTGGTACTCTGGATGCATCTCGTAACGGCTGCAGTACGGGCATTATTCCCATTCTCGCTGGTCGGTCACTGTCCTGCGCGGCTTACCTTTGCAAGCTTGATTTGGATTGCTATACTTGGTTCGCATCGAGTTCTTTTCTTGGCCACGGCTCTTAACACGCATCGTTAAGCGCCGACTCCACGCCTATTCTTGCCACAGCGGATTGCATAACTTCATACGAACGGCTTGGTCCGAATATTGTATCGCACTCTCGCGTATTATACCCGGTGTTCTCTTCAATATTCGCTTCGGAGTAAGCTTCCTGTTGCAATCCTCTTTAGACTTGTTCTCTTCCCAGTTGGGCACTGGGGGCTCGTGTTAGAATTGACCGGCATTTTGGTCGGGTCTCTCTTGGCAGGTACACTATCGAGCTGGGACCGTTTATGGTATCAGGCATACCACCGGGTATCTTTCGATATTGCGTCAACAACCAGATCGCAGGATTGCGATACGCTACAAACACGCCGTATACGGTGGCCTATCTGTTCGCAGACTACATCACACTTTTTTTTTCCTTTGTCCAGTACCATCATCACGAAATGTTACCTTTGGGTTTCTCTGTTGGCTATCAGAATGTTCACGTATACCCCTGTTTACCCATTTTTAGATGGGCCATTCCTTTCGGCATCTTACTCGGCTTTACATTCGGCATCGCTTGTTAGTTGGCTCCATCGGCAAACTATCGTTCTTTCTATTCTCAGACCTGTACATACTTTTTAGGAGACGGCGATTTTGCATTATGGAGTATCTTCGGTGGCGGAGGAGGGGAACGGGGGAAGCTAGACGGCATGGGTTAGATGGCAAGCGAGCAGGTAGCCTTGCGCTTGCGGCAAGGCCGTTGCATCGGCGTGTTGTTTGTATACAAAAGATCGCCGTTAGACATGGTGTCGGATGTCCACTGCCCCGTGTTTAGTGCGCTTGGCGGGTGATCGCCTACGTCTTTCCCTATCCAGTAGCGAGGCCTACTCCGACCAATATCACCCTGTTTGGATGTACACTATACATCACTCCTGCACCGTGTTCTTTTCTTTTCTCATTATTAGACTCGACTATGTATGCAGGAGTACAAGGGCGGTGAGACGAGGGCCTTGCAGCGCTGGGTGTTTCACTTTTGGCCTTGCAGTAGTGGCCTGATTGGGAGATTTTGAATGTGTTGGTCTTTGCGGTGATCGGTCGGAATGTGGAGGCACTTTGGCCACGTAAGGTTATGCATACGCGGATGTGCCGATGAAGTTGTGTAACTGTCTGTTTCCTTCTGCTCGCACAGGGCGAGTGGATGTTGTTTGAGGAAAGAGCAGCGCCCTTTGCAAACTTTGTTGGCGAATTGGGATATCGGCAGTGGCGGTGTGAGGACTGAGGTTCTGCTGCCAATCGGGTGGCTTGGGTTGAATGTGTAAGTATTGAACATAAGATGCTTTTTTGTCATTGACCGGCACTTCAATGCAAGAATTGAAGCCCTACTATAGCTTTGCCGAGGCGCTCGAATGCTCCGTGCTTCAATCATGGTATGCTCCTTGCCTAGCAACCTCGATACCTAAGTAAAAGAAGTAAGCGCCTCCAACTCATCGTACCTAGGTTTGACGTAATACATCAATGCATCAGTCGTTCAAACTGTAGTTGAGTGCATGTGAGGAGAACAACATCTCTCATGTAATTCGACAGAGAATCGGATGCGTTACCGTAGTACTGCGGTTGTAGGTGGAGCTGAGCCAACCGATTTCAATTAGGAGATGATTGCTCGCAGTGAGACAGGTAGCTATGATCTGCCCATGACGAAAGACTCGAGATATCACCTTTACAAGCGACATATTCGTGGAGTAAAGGTGCCGTTTTGCAGCCACGAGAAGGAAATGCTTCTGCGACGGGTTAGCACAAATCAGCCACAGCCTTTGCCCCGCCTCGTGGCGCATGCGAGGACCCCACCTTGATGGTCCGTGGTTCGCCGTCACTGCAGCCTGACGGTTCCGCCCAAGCAAACTCACAACCACTTTGCTGCCTATAACCTTTTGCGCCGTCGCGTCCTCCCACCTACACTTACGTCTACCTACTCAGCTCACGAGCTCTCGCCAACGCTCTCCATACCGCCAAAGCAGCTTCACGAAGCTTGCCACAGCTGCATCCGCTACACCGAGACAGCCACTGAAGCGCGAATAAGAGGAGAATAGACAATATGCAGATCAAGTACGTCATATCGACTCTGGAATATGACTAGAAGAAGCAGTAGAAAGACAAATTGCTAACACTGGGATAGAGTACGAACCCTCACCGGCAAGGAGATCGAGCTCGATATCGAGGCAGACTACAAGGTGCGACTACTCGAATGCATCGCCGCATACCCAAACCAGGTCGGGTCTTGATGGCTTCAAGGCTTTGAAAGCGATGCGTAGCAATTCTCCAGGGCAGAAAGCTAACGGCACACAGGTCTCGAGGATAAAGGAGCGCGTCGAGGAGAAGGAGGGCATCCCGCCAGCGCAACAACGTCTTATCTACGGAGGAAAGCAGATGTATGTATCTCTTGCTCTATTACCCTCTCCGTGTTTCGGCTACCTCTGGAGGTGTCTCTGAGTACACATCTTACTTCAGATCGAGCTAACATGAACCTTTCCAGGAACGACGAGAAGACCGCACAGGACTACCAACTCGAAGGCGGTGCCACACTGCATTTGGTACTTGCTCTTCGTGGTGGATTCTAGCTTCCTCCTTTCCCGAACCCACCCTACCTTCGCTCGCACCAACGACCCGTACCCTGTGACATACCCTGGGGCAGGCGTGCGCTAACTTTCCTGTCGCACGTTTTCAACCATCAGCTCACGGAAGCGCGCGTAGCACCATGGGGGTATCTGAATATCAGAGGGATGACTGAGGAGAACGGATACTTGGTGCCCAGATACTGGAGTTTGTAGCGAGGTTGCTCGACACGCGACGATGATACTCGGCATGTGACTTGGGCTAGGATATTAGAAGACTTGCGTTTGGTAATAATGCGGAATCCTTTCCTTGCACAATTACGCGTTGCATCATGCTTCTTCGAGCAATGTGTTGTCTCTTCAGCAGGATTGCAGATTGCGCACGCGTCTCGGCTAGTCCACTATTACGCCTTGCGCCCCGGATTGCACATGAAGGATTGATACCATGCTTTCGACAGAGAGGCCATCAAAGTTCTGATGCTACTCCAAGACAGTTCTGCTATCTACCCAAGATTACGTGATGCACTTACCCTTACACAACGTCAATCTGAAGGATTGAGTTCACGAACTGTACTATGGCTCTGGTATCCATCGAAGTCGTGGTACGAATTGCGGACAAACGCTCTTATCATCTGTAAGGCGTAGCCGGCGTAACTGCATGTAGATTACCCCGCAGGAACACCGCCTGCAACAGCCAAGTACAAACGCGCGATGGTCACAGAAGAGCGCTCCTAGCTTCCGCATATAGACCGCCTCGTGGCCTAGATCCAGGTACCTACTCGACAGACGCTATAAAGCTCGTTTACCTTCGCCATTCGTGGTTCCGGTTCTTGAAGCTACTCATACTTTACCACAAGTCCTACTTTGCGTGCAATCGTAGCTCAAGAAGCTCAACTACTGTTCTTCGAAAAAGAAGAGCCAAGCACAAGACAGAGCAAGATGGCGCCTCTCGACGATACCACGCCAGCCAACCGATTCGACAGTTTCAACGTTTTCAAAACGTCGTACAAGCAGGTGGACTACCATGACATCGAGGTCGGCATCCTGGTGCCAAAAGACGTGAAACCAGGCAAATGTCCAGTCATGGTAAAATTCCACGGCGGTGGTCTGGTATGTTGATCTCTGTTTTTCGCCCTACATGTCTTCTAGCGGCGAGGACCGAGGATTCCATGGCCTAATATCACATCACAGGTCGCAGGAGACTGCCTCTATGCCGACTGGATAGGCGCCTTCTTCGTCCCCTGGATCCACCGCACCAACGCCATCGTCGTACTACCCAACTACCGCCTCATCCCCGAGCACAACGGCGCCGACATCCTCGAAGACCTGAGCGACTTCTGGAAGTGGTTCAACGCAGGCGCCGTCGATGAATTCCTCAAATCTCAGCCGACGATCAAGGAAAGCGGCATCAGTCTGGATTACGGCAAGATCTTGGTCACAGGCGATTCGGCAGGCGGCTACATGGCCTTGATGTCCGCTCTCACACAGCCTAAAGACAGCATCAAAGCCGTTTTCGCGCAGTATCCCATGACGAACTATCTGCGTTGCGAAAAGGTCGATGAGTTCTTTGGTCAGCCTTCTCCGCCTGAGTCTCTTATCGCCAAGCATCTCGCGGCCGTCAAGCCAGGTGCTATCGTCACTTCGGGTGTTCAACCGGAGAGGATGGGATTGAGCTATGCTTTAGCCGCCTACGGACACTATCTCACGTACTTCGGTTCTGATGAGAAGATGTGGCCGATTGGGCTGGTGGAGGAGAAGGAGTGGTTGCCGCCGACGTGGATTGTGCATGGTGACGCGGATGGGGCGGTTAGTGTGGAGGATAGCAGGAAGTTTGTGGAGAAGTGCAAGAAATTGGGTGAGGGTGTTGAGGTCAGGCTGGAGGTCAGAGCTGGCCAGGATCATGGCTTTGATATCGCGACGAAGGAGGATGAGGAGGCGTGGCTTAAGGAGGGGTTGGCGTGGGTGGATGGGAAGTGGCTGCGCTCGTGATTTTCGGTTGCTCATGGGCTGCCAAGTACGAGTGAATAGTAAATTCATGCCAGTTGTTGGGACACGCTCAGACAGTTGGGGGCGGAGTTTGCGCCGATGGCTTTTGAAGAGATCACGTCAACATAGGAAAAGACTGAACACCCTGCAGCCTACATCCACGTGAAGTCACCTACTTTGCATAAGCTTAAGTCAATGTAGTCTGCAGACCTATGTAAGGTAAGATGTTGGGGTTGTTATATGGGTCTTTATATGCGTGGACTTGAACTTGCCGTGTTTGGACAGCCGGGACGTGTGATAATGTTTTCTTATCTTTGGGACATGGCGACGCAAATAGCGTAGAGTCATATATATGTTATATTCCGCGAACGACGTATTACCACTCATATGATGGTCAGTGTGGTCTTCTTCTCGCGAAGAGGATCCCAGTCGATGAAGAGAGGCCACTCGCCGTTTGAGAGACGGTGCTGAAACCATCCGTGTTCAAACATTCCAATTCGTTTGAAGACCTTCTTTCCAGCCACGCGTTCAAGGATTAGACCCGTCAGCCTTTTGATCTCATGGGTTCCAAAAAGAGGCTTGACTCTATACGTGAGTAGCAATAAGACTGTTCGGTCGGCGGAATATCCGTTTCCGTATGCGCGATCGTCAAGGTGATGGAGATACAATGGCTCGTAGGCATCTCTGGAAAGGTCCAAAGGTTGCTTCAGTCGTCGTATGGGTGCCGTGACGCGAAGCTTGGCGCCCGACAATCTGCCCATTGCATCTGTACCGCTTAGATGCGTGACCACTTCAGCAATGTTCGCTGCCCAGATATCTTCGTCATACCCCCTAGGAATGCCGCCCACGTGAGCGAGTGGGAAACATACTGCGGAGTCCGCGGATGCCCATGACCAAGAAGGGGCTTGGGAAAGAATCAGACATGGGTAAGACCTCCTAACGCTTGGATATACTTACCACGATAGTCCTTTGACCGAGGTTTCTTAGGGGCAGGTCTTTCCTGGTACCACAGAAGACCGTACACAAGGTCTCGTCTCCATGTTCCAGCCACATAGTCATCCTCGGTAATGACTTGCCAGTACTTCGCAAGTCCCATGAGCGCAGGAAAACGATCTTCTTCATATGTGAGCTGGCATTTCGAGTAGTACTCCACAACGCACAGCCATTTCCTGTATACTTCTCGGATCCGAGCGACCTCGGGTGAGCACTGTTGAGGTGCGTAGATACCAAGTTCTTTGTATCTCATATCATCGTAAAGAAGATTTGCGGCACGAAAAGGGAAGCCTTCTTTGCCCCACGGGTTGAATGTACCCGTAATTGGTCCGCCGTGTGGGAATGTCTCGCAAGCGTGAAGTTCAGAGCACTCCCAGTGCAGCTTCTCACCGTAATAGATTGACCGGGGACTCAAGAGGCGCTCCTGGAGTACCCAACCACGCCTCAATAGGACACGAGCCGTCATGATAGAATCTGGTTTCAGATATGAACCGTATGTCCTATTGAACTCTGTCCGCTGCGCCCGTAGCCGACAAAGGGATACCTGTCGGGGATCTCGGTCGAGATACAGACCCACTGATTTTTCGGCGGCCGCGGAAGCTCCTAGATTACAGAATGCGTTGCTGTAAACCTGACCCATCAATGCCGCTTCTTTGTCCCAGTCTTCCGCGTCGTTCTGTATGATGCACAATGCATCAATCCATATATATGGTACTTCCAATGTGCGAGATATCTCTATCGCGTCTGCGAAGACCGGAGGGAGTGTTTTCGCATCGATGCTCGTCATTAGCTCCGCGATGTTAGAGCGGGTTAGCTTTGGCATCTGGTTTGCTGCCCACCGATGACTGAGTGTAACGTATCGAATTGACTCAGCAGAACTCCAGTCCTTAGTTTCGACGAGGAATTGGCTATCGGCATTTCGAATGTCTATCAAACGAGTCGGATTGAAACATGTCGTAGGTTCGCATCCCGGGAGGACAAGACGACGACGACACAACGTGTGGTTCTCCATGCATTCGCGCAGCCAAGCCTGTACTTGCATCCAACATGACGGATCGCGCGTGGTCGTTGCTACTGGCTTTGCGCTGGCGGGTATACGTATCCTGCCGAAGAGATCGTTTGCGTACCTTATCACTGCCTCATAACCGTTCGAGCCTTTGACGAGAGCTCGTAGAAGTATAACGAACGATGCCACACATCGGGTTGACTGATGCGTCCATAGTTCAGCGTCGATTCTCAGCTGGCCGGAGTCTTCCGGGTCCGTTTGATCAAATTCCCGTTCTTCGTTGTCGTATTCCCCGATGTGTAGAGTTGCGGAAATGTAGCCAGTTTTAGCGACGTCCGCTTTGGATCCGTTGCTGAAAGAGTCGAGCCACTTCAAGAGCCAGAAGCAGATAGGACATTCTCTGGCTGTGGTGATCAAGGTGTGGTGGGTGTAATGAGCCGGAGTCTTATTGGAAATGGATTCGCGAGGTCTCACCAGCAGGCCTTGACAGGTTGAGCACGGAGCATATGACGTCATCCTTCCCACCGAGGTACTTCCCTTTCCGACGAGATGTCAAGAAAGAAGATTCATATGTGATGAGTGATGTGAACTGAAGCAGGAGTGCTCTTACGGGACTCGGGTCAAGGTGTCTTGAGTTTGATACGGGCCCCGCAAAATGCAAGTATACTGTGCCGCATCGGATCACTAGCGACAGGCTGTACTATGTAGTGCAGATCATTTGTGCAGCACAAACGGCAAAGATGACTATATCACAGCCCGACAACCAATTTTAGAGGCTGGAATCGTGTGCGAAGAAGGATTAAACATTGTTTATATTGGCCGAAGAACTAAATATCATGTCGCCTATCCACATACAACAGATTCTCTTCCGCTATGCTAACCACCCACTGCATGATAAAAACATAAAGAAGGAAGAGAATCTGGATTAGTGTGTTGATAGGCTACACGTCTTGCAACGTGTGTGCTTACATCCTTGCTCAGAACATTGCGAACCAAGATTCCCCTTTATTAATCCAACTTTGCACGAACAGCACCCATACAAAAGTTTGAGTCCCCTGTTTTCTTGCATTTCCTTGGCTTGATTCGAGTGAACGTCTTCTTCAGGAGGGTTCTAGCTATCCAAAGTCATACGGTTGTCTGCGGAGTGAGAGTAGCTGCAATGCTAGCAACGTGAAGGAGGTGGGCTTAAACGTGGTAGGGGTGAAGGATATTCCCGATTTGTACTAGTGTTTTGACGACCCGTAGGTATATTACGATTGACAGGCTCGGATAGCTGATTAGATAGTATGCTTGGGTTGAGACGGTATGCTTAGGTTGAGATGGTATGCTTGGTTTAAGACGGTATGCTTGATTTGAGATGGTACGGTAGGCAGATAGAGATGGTATATCGAACTCGTGGTACGCGTAGTGGAGTATAGAGACCGCCGTTGAGCGTGAGGAAAAGATTCTTATAAGCCTACATCGTCTTCACAGGAGTCAATCTTCAATGAGTCGAAGTATTGACATGACTACAACGTCGGTCACAGCCGACGTTCTTCAATGAGTCGAGGTACTGTGATGACTACAATGCAAACATAAGAGTCAGTCTTCAAGGCGTAAACGTATTGTCGGCATCACAGGTACCTATCACTCACACGATATTACTCACAGAATCCATTGAATACCTCCCCACTTCACCGTACAATCGCCTACATCACTCACTTCTTCCTCGAGCCCCTCCCGCCCCTCGCACTCTTCTTCTTCCCTTTCGCAATGTCCGCACCGCGGCGACCACCAGCGATCATGACCCGTACCTTACTAACCGGCACAACACCTACTACCTCCGTCTCCTTCCAGCCCCTAATCATCTCAATCTCCTTGGGCCAAATACGCTCTACATCCTGACTGGTCTTGTCTAGCGCCTTAGCATCCTTCCCGGCGTGGTCCCAGATGGCAAGAACCTCTTTCACTGCTTTACCGCGTTTGGTAGAGCCCGGTTGGATCTTGGCTTTGTATTTGTAGGTGGAGAGGGCCGACCAGGGTGCGCATACGGGGATGGCGGTGAGGAGTTCGTCGTTGGGTAGGGGGCGGCCTGTGAACGCGTCGAGATTCTGCAGGTTTGTCTTTAGGATTTCATCGCCTTCGTCGTCGTCTTCCGCGTTCTCGAGGGCGCGTAGGCGTGCTTCTTCAGCTGCTTTGCCTGCGGCCTGGGCACGCAGATGCTGGTCTCGGCGCCGTTGCTTGTCAGCTTGTGCTTGCTCTTCCTTCTGACGCTTCTCTTGGGCAGCCGCTTCGGCAGCCTGTTGCCCGGATTTGGAACCCAGTAGGCGCATTGCTAATTCACGGTCTTCTTCGTCTTGTGCGGCGTACTTTGCGGCCTGCTTCTTTGCTTTCGCGCGCTTGCCTCGAGGTAGTGGGGCGTTCTTTGGCTTCGTGCTTTGCGTCGTCACTGTGCCGGGTGCTTTAGGCGGACTCTTTGCGCTACCGTCTTCTGCCGATGAGTTGTCGTCTTCGTCAGCATCATCAGCTGCAGGCTTTGCATCAGATGGAACCTGAGGCAGATCTTGCAATTGGCCCTTCCTTGCAAGGCGACGTTCTCTTGCAGACAACTGTCGCTTCCCGGTGGACTTTGGCGCCCGCTCAGTATCTGCTACAGAGCCTGCGTCTTCTTGAGGCTCTTCGTTCAGAGCGGAACCATTTCTACCACCAGACATGGCGTACTCGTCATCATCCTTAGCAGCTGCCGGCTCATCTTCATCGTCGGAGTCGTCCTTAGCGTCTGCTGTTCTGGACTGGAGAGGATTGCTCCTTGGTGCCGCAGCCTCAGATTCGGCGTCGCTCTCTTCAGTCTGCTCCATCTTGGCATCGGGGAAGTCGTCTTCTGAATCTGAATCGATCTTGGCGTCTGGGAAGTCCTCATCGTCATCGCTGTTGTCGGTCTTTGACGCCTCTGCTGTCTTCGATTCGTCTGCGGGTTCATTGTCCATCTCCGCGGCAGACACCGCAGTGTCTTGCAAACGATGTTTGTGGTGATTGGCCTTACTTGAATCGCTAATCTCAAACATGACAGCAAGACCAACGACCAGCTGAGCAGGTGGTAGGAATTCCTTCTTGCCCTTAACATTGAACATGCCAGCCGGAAGAAACTCCCCGGTCTGGCCCGTTTTGCTGACTTGGTCGCTTCGAACCCACCAAGCTGACATTACTGCCTTTGAATCCCATGCCTCAGATGAACAGATACAGAGGTTGCCTGCTTGCGAGAGTGTCGATGGAGGAATGGGAGCGTCAGACATATCGGGTTTGTTTTTGATGATCATCGGCATCGCTCCCTTGATGTCGGCATGAACGTATACGTCTCCCTTCCGTAAAAAGCGGCGGTAGATAATCTCGTTCTGCTGGGCATCTTTACCCCCAAGAACCAGATAGCCATCAGAGGAAATGAAGTATATGAACTTCTCAAACCATTGCTGCTTGCGCACCGGTCGCAACACCTCCTTCTCTTGCTTCAAGCCCTTCTTCAGGTCCTCGTTTACCTTCTTTTCGTGGCTCTTCAACGCCCTGGTGGATGCTTGCAGTGTGCGATCTTCTTTGTCAGCGGCTGTCTTCTTTTGGTCGAAGTACTCGGTTGAATTCGCCCAAGCGGTCAAAGCGAGGTCGATGTCGATAGCCAATTGAGGCCGAGCGGATACGGCTGGGGTCGGGGCTTTCTTCTTAGGGGCCTCATCTTCTTCGTCGGTGTCTTCGCTGACAGAACTTGTCTCATTGCCCTCATCTTCTTCGTCTCCTCCCTCTTCCCAGTTGGTCTCATCCAGCAATAGCGTGACCGTATTCTCATGCAGCTTTAGTGGTAGCTTAATGAGCTGTGCGACTGCGTTTCCAGAGTTCTGTTCACGCTCGATCAAACGCGCGATATCAACCCAGTCCATGCCTTGTCTGATCAACCCATTGACGGCTTCGGTAGCTTCTGTAACACGATGTACATTCGCCAAGATCGCTTCTGCTTTGCGGAAGTTGAGGTTTTGCACTTGCTGCAATCCACCGATTCGGTCTTCATGCTCTTTGCGCGCCTTTTCAAGCTTCTTCTTGGCCTGTTGTTCTCGCTCGGTCAACTTTGATTC